CCTACAAGGGATTTTTATAAGACCCGCAAAGTAATTAACCCCTTCTCGTCCCTACGACCCTCCCCTTCCCTTCCATCTCTCCAGCCAACTCCTAGCCCATCCTTCAATCGTCACACTACCCCCCTCCCCTCGCTCGTCACTATTCTCGATGATCCGTTACCTCCCCCGCTCTCACTAATGAACAGCAAAGTGAGGTAGGGGGGAAAGCCCCTCGCTCCCTTCCCCCTTCTCCCCCTGGATCCGCCAATGGTCTCGAAAAGTGATTCACTACTGCTGGCAAAAAAAAGGGAAAACGCGGAAGATAAAACAAAAATTTTTAAATTCGTTGACTGATAAAACAAATTACTTCGGCAAGGTTTGATATTGTTGGCAAATTTTCGGTTGTGGGCGAAGTGATCGCAAATGGCGCATATTTAAGGAGGGAATGGAGGACACTGTAGAGGGGACTTTTTGGTGGTAGCCAAGCGCGAAGTCCAAGCATCCCATGCACATTGATTTCATACACTGTTGTGATTGTTTCCGGGCAAAAATCCAGAAACGGCAGTGCGAATGATGCGGCTACATTTTTACCAACAATTGCAGCAAGATGATTTTCCGCCGATATTGATGAACTGAAACTATTTTATTATAATGGTGCTACCAAAACCACACAAAAATTAAACAAGCAAATTAGAAATAACAATTCAGAAAAGGTAAAAAAACCAAAAAACCCATACAAAAATATGAAAAATGTGCTCCAATGGCAACCTTGTATTGATCCAATTATTCTCATTGAGCAAGAGGAAAAGTTCGAAACTATCCGTAACGTTTATTTCAAATTCCCAGGTGTACGGAACAAAACTGAACAAATCCGGCGATGAACTAGAAGTCCATTCATTAATAAGATCCTGAAAAAAAAATGCAAGTTACATCGTAGCGCATGGAAATTTTTGCTGCAACCAAGCAGAAAAATGAAGATTTCAAATATTTCAAGCAAAATGAAGTTTTCAAATATATATAAAAAAAATTCCAAATACTTCAACATACCGAAGATACTAAGACAGCCTAGGCAACTAATGTGGATAAACCATTTTAGTGATGTTACTAGGATGCTCCCACACTTCATGTACACCTATGCCAGGTCCCTGCTTCTGAGATATATATATTTCCAGTTAAGTATCGAAGGATTTATACCGCTTCTTAATTTTTAAAAAGATTTCTACTCAAATGAAGGGTACCATATTTCCGTATCGGAAATACTTGAAAACTCACAGTGAAAAAGTGTTTATGGTCCCAGACGACCCAGGCGCTGATTTTGTTAATTTCAACGGCAAATTTCCACAGTTGATGTGCATTGAAAACACGTGGATAATGAACATTTAGTGATAAACGCAATGTTTCGCATTGGAAGAATTTCGGATAAATGAGAGAAGTGGACGATTCAACGAACAAAAAACAACAACGCAACGTCGTCACAAATCCCTGATCGGTCGTCACCCAAGGCATTTTGAGCTACAAAATATACAATTAAACTCAATTATAATTAAATTAACAGAAAGTTTCAAATAATGCATCTATTACTAAGTGCACCGTTACCAAATAAGAGTGTATAAAATAATGCAAATCGAAGAGACAAATTCGTCAAAAGCCTGTTTCTAAACAACCCTCGAAAGACGGAACCATCGACAGCCCGTTAGCGAAAAGCTGTTACAGATACATGTGTTATCACACGGTTTAACTCAAGGCTGAACTTATACCCGCTGACATTATATACTTAACATCGATTTCAACGAAATCCCAAAACGTAAGTAATCCTCAAGTTTTCGAGCTCGGACTCGATTAGTGGCTACAGTGATAAAGTAATGTTCAGAAATTTTTTTCACAAAAAAGAATATGCTTTTTCGCTGCTGCTTACTTGATCAAGCTAACAGCAAGAAACTTGGCCGTAATGTGATTTCTATGAAAAAGGTCAAACAATGAGGTCAAATGAGTTCAAACAGCTGCAAAAATGAGGTCAAACAGCACTATTGCTTCTTTCCCCTATGGAGGAAATAATCGTCACTTCAAGGAAGAATTCAACTTAATTAAGAACAAAGAGTTAACACCCGGCGGGTATAGCTTATAATTAACTGTGTTTCACAATGATAACCCCGTGCTGTTCATGGTAACCGACAAAAGATGATTTACAAAAAACAAAAACGACAAATAAAAAAAAAAAGCGACAAACTAGTGTGTTTGGAAGTAAATAAATCAGGGCAGCATAAAATTGACAAATTCGGGCCAGACATCAACGGTTCTATGCTAATACTACGAGGAATTTTGCCTCTAAAACGGGAGAATATTAAGGCAACATACATCAACAGAAGAGCCTTGTTTTACGCGCAAATGCAGTGCATTCAGTTCATCGCCTCTCATGAACCACAAATCAATCGCTGCATCACTCAACAACGAAATTCTCATGTCATGCGATAACAGGATTCGTCGTTCCCCTTCTTTTGGCATTACACTGAAAAACATAAATCAAAATCTCTCTCAACAATGCAGGAAAACTGAACTTTTAAATGCTTCTGTTTAGATCGGCAAATGTATACGACTTAATGGATCGAAACATTTCTTACCTATTACAAATATACAGAAATATTTCAAATATTTCTATACACACCTTCTCCATTTTATTATCCTTTTCCTTCTTTTCTTTGTTTTCTTCTTTTCTTGATATTTTTTTCAATCTTTAATAAGTGTTTGAAATATTTCATTTTTTCTGGCAACTGATGTAACAAACGTGCTAGTCACCGCCACAACACCGTTTCGTTTTCAGTAAAAGATTCAGAATAGTTTTGTTATGCACTCACAATTAAAGTCAAAAGTCAAAACCCTTCCAGATGAGCGGAGACTTGGAAGAAGTAACTCGCCTGCTACTAAATGTCAACAGCAATCGCTCGTGAACAAAACTATAATCGGTTTTTCCTTTTCAGAACTACTCAGAATCAGGTTGACAGCATTTTTTAAATGGATAAACCCGTAAAGCTCGTCGAGAGCAATTAGCCTATCCTATCAAATTCATCGCCATTCAGTTATTAAGTAAATCTATACAACGGTAAAAATTATTACGGTACATTTGTTAGAAATACAGTAATCAGTAAAATCAATGAAAAATAAAAATATTTTTGCTAAAAGCATACGTCACTTCGGCATTACGATGTTCTGGAGGGAAGAAGAAATCATAGAGGAGCGTACGTTGTGCATCAGCCCATGGACCATATGAGAAGACGGTATTTTTGTCAAATCGCCAAACAGATTCCCAGACTGGCGGATCCTCAACCATTGACTGTTGGCCTTCCTTTACCACACCTTCAAGAAAAAAAAACTATCATAATATACTACATACAACTTTCTCTAACATAAAAACAAACCGTTTCATTTAAGGAAATCCAGAAAAACAAAATTTTTTAGGCCAAGTTTATACAAGACGGCAAACTATGCGTAATAATTCACTGGATTTAGCTAGCCAAAAACTCTACACTGCAAAATATGAAAGCTTATCCAGTCAAAGTTCAAACGCCAAGCATCCCATTCAGCCAAAGATCACAACTAAAGCAGTTTGTTTATCCAAAATTCAATGCCATAAAGCACTGCCAACAGGTCAGAAAATCCCTTAAATGAATTTCATTATTTACCATGAGAAGAGGGAAAAATCTTACCTAAAATGGACTGATTGTAAAAGAAATTGAGATGCGCAGTTTGGACGACCGCAAAGCCATCGCCCATAGTACGTGGCGGATCGCAACATCGAATGCTCTGATGCGACTTCTTTAAGAACTGGCTACACTGGACCACCGAGACACGAACATTTTCGGTGCCACCGATCACACTCAACAGCGCCATATCATCGCCTCTGCCATACTCCTTGAGGGAAATTTTAGCTGAAAACCAGCCGTACTGGAAAGAAAGTTTGGCTGAAAGCACTAACAACTTATAATAAAAATACCAGTCCAACTGTTTAATTGATTTCAGTTCATTATATGCAATGAGGTGCCAAATTTCAGACTGTAGTACAGGAAAAATCTGCTGGACGAGCAAACTGAACACAGTGGGATTTCTGACACTGAATTTCCCTTTTCAGATGGATAGCAAAATCAATGCCAACGTCTAGAATGTTAAACGGAAGAAGCGAACGCTATTTTGGTTAATGTAATGGTGCAAACGGAAAAAAGATGAAGGGAAGGAAGGGATGAAGGAATGTAATGGGATGTAATGGTGTAAACGAAAAAAAGATGAAGGTGAAAAGACCGGAAGTTTAGCCGAATTAATGACAATCTTTTTAGAGCAAATCTATAATTTTTAGCGCCCAGCTATGTTGAAATTAAAAATTTAAATAAAATAATTTAGAATATCCCAAGTTTAGTGCAGTAATCGAAAGTAAAAGTCAATTAACGATAGAAAACCACAAATTCTAACTCCCAAACGTGACTTTTTTTATCAAAAGCTAATACTATACCCTATCAACACAAAAACAGCTGCAGTCCTACACTGAAGCGTTACGATTTGTTATAAAATCTGTTTGTACAAGTTAATTTCAGATTATAAAAAGCCAGTGAAAAACTAATCCCTTCACTGACTTCTTGCGTCATCTGGATGCTAATTTTGAACTATAGTCTGGATTCAAATAATCCTTAACGTGCCTTCAAAATATCGCCGGAAGCGAAAACCATCAACAATTGGCATAAAATACTAAGAATACCAAGACCGTCCGGACTATCAGTGTAGAATTCCCTGTCAATGATGTTATTAGGATGCTCCCGAAAGCCAACAGCAACTATGCCAGGCCCTTCAGAGTTGCATACTTCCAGTTAATAGTCACCATCTGTTTTGTGTATGTGAGTCGGAATAGCAGTAATAAATTCCAGAATTAGCAATGTAACTTCCTATTTTAATGCAAAAATTATATTCAAAAAACCAACATGTATAATTTTCAAACGAGAGCACCATCATTGAGGGAAGAAGTGCGTTTCCGGCAACCAGACGTCCGGAACTGATGTCCAGCTTGATGTAACCAATTAGTGACCACAAGCTGTCATAGTATTTATCCCATTCCAGCTCTTCTTCCTCTAAAATAACGACGAATAATGCTCAAAAAAACTCTGATTCAGAAAAAGGGCAAAAATGCAATGCTGTCCCCACTTGTAAGTTTTCGTGCTTTTCCCGCATCTGTTTCATCCTTCAATGGAACAAATAGCTTTTCGATCCCGAAATATCTGGCTAGCCGCCGATAACTGGTCAAGCGATTGTACACGTGTAGCTGCACGCCATTCAACGAAATATGCAATCTTGAGATATTACTGAAAAAAAAAACGCTTCGGGGAGACACTGTGCGGGTTTTTGTTGTTTCTGAGTTCTTCTTTTATAAAAATTTCAAAATCTCATTTCACGGAGGATTTGAATAATCGCCCATACGCTGGCAATCCTTTCGTGAGATGAAAGGAACCTCACTTTGACTTTTCTCCTCGATTCTCCTCGAAAACAGCCTCCTCGATTTTGTTTGATTTCCAAACAGTTCGAATAGTGACTCACATATGTAAGCTCCCTTTCATGAAAACCTCAGCCCTTCTAAGTTGCAAATTACGTAGACCAGTAACCTAATCATTACTGTCACTAACCTTTTATGGGCATAATTCGAAGGGATATAGTTCCAGTAAGAAAAAATAATCCAACCATCATTGCAGCAAAATGAAAAATTTTGGCATATACATCGAAAATTTCGGAACATTATTTTCCCGGAAAGCAAACTTATGGAAAATGATCCTGAAGCAGAGACAAGCAACATGTTGACGCAAAAAAGAATTGCTAAATTAACAAAACTGCTAAATTATCATTCTCGTTACGTAAAAAAGATGTTGAACACAGGGGAAAATCAAGAAATTTGTAATACAGAAAAAATGGGGCGAATTGAATTTTACCGCACTGACCTATGATTATCTGTACATCGTATCCTTTGAGATGCGCAAGTCGTGTGAATATGAACGCAACAATTGGCCCAAAAACACGTGACATATAATATGTTAGGAATAAAACCCATATAACAAATAGCAATAAACTTCCAAGCATAACCCAAAAGCTCGCTTTGTCCGGCTGCAAATTCATCACAGTACTTTTGATGGATGTTACCTTTTCACCCCAACGATACTCACACAACCATTGACGAAATTTCGAGGATTATATTGATTGAAGACGCATCATCTAGTAGTCATTTTACTGGTATTCCTGGCATTTGTTTCCTTGATTTAGTGCGAATTAACGAAAATACGCTTGGCCGATTTCATTGTTTTTCCGACCTATCAACTTATCATCAATCGCCGTCATGCTCCTTTATAACCCATGAAAAACAAGATTTTCTTCATCACCCGTTTGATGTCAGACGAATTTATGGAAACATTATTCTTGATCGAACTTTCACTCCTTTAAGTAGTAGATGCCTTGAACAGCGGTACAGTCCTCTTAACTAGAAATTTCAAAATCCAATTTCACGGAGAATTTAGAAAATCGTCTTTAAGCTGGTAATATCTTTGTGAGATGAAACGAACGCCATAACTGCTAGCAGAGTGACCACTACGCGATGCATTACCAGCCAATCAAACAGAAAAGTTGCCAGCTGCATTAAGCAAATCCTTACTATGAATTAATAATTGTTTCAGACATTGCAGATGGTGAGACATTGCACAAACAAATCTGCAATATTCATGACCCTTGACCCAGGATCAATGAAGCACTTGGTGGATTTCTGAATCACGTCGTCATTCTAATCTGCTTTGATCACGCAAAAAAAAAAAAAAAATAATTCACCTGAACAATTTCTCGATAATCCTCCCATCTTAGATTGATATCTCCTGGTAGCAATATCGAACCATTCGTCTCCCAGAACGATCGGCCCCCAATATCAGGTGGGATCGAGCCGTTCATTTTCGCTTATTCTCTACTTTCCTTCACATTACCCTTTAATAAAAAGTTTCAGAATATTCCAAAAAAAATTTCCTCCTTATGCATCCCAACAGTCCGAACTCATTCGATAATATAGGCAAATACCAATGCAACAAAGAAACTGACACATAAAATTTCATTTATTGCAAACTTCAAAAACT